TCTGCGGTCACTTTGACTACAAGTACCTCCGATTCCAATGCATCGATACCCCCGGTATCCTGGACCACCCTCTCGAGGAGATGTAAGCGCCTTACCTCTCACACGTCGCGCAAACGGAACGCTAATGAGCCTAGGAACACCATCGAGATGCAGTCCGTCACCGCGATTGCCCATTTGCGATCCGCCATTCTCTACTTCATGGATCTCAGTGAGCAGTGCGGCTACTCCATCCAGGCCCAGATCAACCTGTTCCAGAGCATCAAGCCGCTCTTCCAGAACAAGATCGTCTTCATCGTCGTCAACAAGATCGACGTTGTCAAGCCCGAGGACCTCGACGCCGAGACCCAGGAGAAGCTCCAGGGTCTCCTCAAGTCCGGCGAGGTCGAGATGCTCCAGCTGTCCTGCAACACCCAGGAGGGTGTCCAGCAGGTCAAGAACACCGTCTGCGAGCGCCTTATCGCCGAGCGCGTCTCCCAGAAGCTCAATGCCGGCACCAACTCCAGCGGCGCCATCGGTGGCCGTCTCGCCGACGTCATGGCCCGTATCCACGTCGCCCAGCCCATGAACGGCCAGACCCGTGAGACCTTCATCCCCGACGCCGTCAAGGGGCTCAAGAAGTACGACAAGGAGGACCCGGAGCGCCGCAAGCTCGCCAAGGACATCGAGGTCGAGAACGGCGGTGCCGGCGTCTTCAGCGTCGACATGCGCGCCGACTGGCTCCTCAAAAACCCCGAGTGGAAGTACGACAAGATCCCCGAGGTTTTCAACGGCCAGAACGTCTACGACTTCGTCGACCCCGACATCGACGCCAAGCTGCAGGCTCTCGAGGAGGAGGAGGAGCGTCTCGACAAGGAGGGCTACTACGAGTCGGACGAGGACCTCGACGACGAGGAGGACGCCGACATCCTCAACAAGGCGGAGCTGATTCGCGAGAAGCAGGCCCTCATCCGCAACGAGGCCAAGATGAAGAAGCGCCTCAAGAATCAGGCCATCATCCCCCGCAAGTCCATGAAGGTGCCCCTTTCCCAGATGGACGACGCCCTCGACCAGCTCGGTGTCGACACCACCGACATTGTCAACCGCGCCCGCGCCCAGTCCCGCCCCCGCGGCCGCTCCATGGGCAAATCCCGCGCCGGCACCGAGGACGCGGACGCCATGGACGTCGACGCGACCCCCAGAGAGCGCCTCCGCTCCCGCTCTCAGAGCAGGGCACGCAGCCAGGCCGCCACCGACAGGCGCAACGATGGTGTCACGGATGATGGTGCTCGTACCAAGGCTGAGCGCCTGGCTAAGCTCAGCCAGAAGAAGATGAACAGGAACGCCAGACAGGGTGAGGCCGATCGTCACACGACGGTTTCCCTCCAGAGGCACTTGGTGAGTTTAATCAGTTACCCATATCTTTTAGACGCATTCGCTAACTCGTTCATCAGGTCGCCGGCAAGCGTGGCATGGGCAAGACGCAGAGACGTTAAGAAAAGGTGGACCGGTAATGTGGGTGGTGACAAAAAGGTTTTCGTGGCGGCATCATCGCATCGTTTGCGCTCCTTGATGGGAAGAACAAAAGTAAATATGCTGTGCTTGTTTTCGCTTTTCTTGGCCTTGGGGGCGTTTGGTTTGATTTATTTCGACATGTAGGAAGCCAGAGAACGCAGGAGGCGAGCGTGGAGGGGAAGCAGTTCGCGGGGTCGCTTTTCTCACTTGAGGGATGAACATTCAAGAAAAGGAAGGTGGCGTCGTTCTGCTTCATGTATTTATGCCTGTGACGGCTCCAAAAGCCCAACAGACCATGATTTACGGGGCCGCTGAATACCCTGGATGAGAGAATTCACATAAAATTGAGTCGATATGAAAAAATGTGACAAGTTGCCCATGTTGTAGAAGGCCGTGCCGTTGTTGTCTAGCGTCCCCCACTATTCCTGTCTCCTTGCCTGTCTCACTCAGTCTCAAGCCGCATGACCATCATCGACGTACCCTGACCTGAGGACATCACTCATGTTACGCTGTTGGGACAAGTATTTACTGTTTTGCATATGGCTTGAATGACTTTGAAGTGCACCACCCTCCCCGATGTTTACGTCCAAGATATATATATATCTACTCCTGATCGTCGTCTGTTATGGTGTGCGAGGGCCCATTGCCTCTCAGACTGTGTTTCCTCCACGTTCAGACCCCACCGCGTACGCAGCCGTCGGCCTTACTGCTCATCCGCAACCTGCAGACCCTCTCTAAGGCCCTCAACAACGAGCTCCTCGCCCGTGGCGCGGCGGTAGATGTCCTTGACGTCGTCGGTCGTGCTCTCAAAGTGACTGCTGGCGTCGTAGCTCTTGGAGACGAAGACGTTGTCGGCACGGCCGTCGTCGGTGGGCTCGTAGATCGGGATGGGAGCACCCTGGTTGGTGTTAGTTTCTTCATTACACTGATGCTGCCGAGCATTCATCCACTCACCATGAACTGCTCCTCGATCTGTCCAAGACGGTCCAAGCCGGGCTGGAGCTCGAGGTGGTGGTTGGCGCCGGTCTCGGCAATGGTTGAGACGATGGCGATCCAGTAGCCCTTGGGGCAGACGTTGTGGGCGGAAGACACGCAAGCGATGTAAATATCTACCACGGGTCAGCCAACTATTCCGTTTCCTCCGGCCTCAAGCAAATACGTACCGTTCTTGCGGCCAATCTGAGACTGGGGGATGATGAGCTGGCAAGAGTCGCTGTCGTTGGTGTGGCTGAGGGGGTGCTTGAGCACGCAAATGGCACGCAGGACCTGGCCAATAGGCTTGACCTTGCCGGGGAAGTAGCTGGGGTCACCGAGAATCATCTTGGCCTTGGTCTCGAACTTCATCTCCTCGACACCGGTCATGGTGGCCTTGATGCCGACGGCCCTTCCGCCCTCGTAGGTGACCTCGTCGACGTTGGTGTTGAGCATGTAGGTACCGCCGTAGATGGCAGACAGACGAGCAAATCCCTGAGGAAGCTCGCCAAGACCGTACAGAGGGTAGATGTAAGGAGACTTGCCGTAGCGGGCAACGGAGGTGCCGTACAGGCGGATGCGCTCAATAGCCTCCGGGGCGCCACCGGGCTTGGTGAGGTACTCGTCGGTGGTGAACAAGGCCATGGCGTGGCCGATGAAGTCGCGAGTGCCAGTCTCGAGTCCGAACTTGTCGTAGACCTCCTTCATGGCGCAGTTGTTGATGTCGAGGCCTTTCACGTGTCAGCCCGAGCTTTATCTAGGTGCCTTGCTCTCAGTCGGCGTCTTACCCTTGTGCGTAGCGGTGTCCTTGCGGTCAAAGGTGCCAATCCACTCGATGAAGCTCTTCATGCGGCGCTTCTCGAAGATGCCCATCAAGGGCGATCGCAGAGCCTCGCCGGCATCGGACGGAACCTTGGCAACTTGGGCCTTGGCACCCTGGCCCTGCTGGACGTAGCTGCCGGCGACCTGCTTGAACTCGAGGTATCGTGTGACGTCGGTCGATACGAGGATGTTGGTGAGCTCGCCGGAGGACATGAGGAACTTGGGAACCAGGTCGATGTTCCAGTCATTCAGGCGGCCGTACTTGGTCCACGGCTCCTCGCCCTTGTTGTAGTTGCCATATTTCTTGAAGAGCTACAGGTGGGCGTCGGGTCAGAACTCATGCGGGTAAGCAGGCAAAGAGCCGAGGGGATTTACCGTCTCGAGGTTCACGGAAGCTGCCTCACTGTTCATGGTCAGCGCATGCTCAGAGGGGGAAATGGCGGTCATGGCAGATGGGGGAGCCAACTTACCCGCCGTAGTGGTCGTTACGGTCAATGTGGAGGACCTTCTTGCCCTTGACACTAAGAACACCAGAGAGAATGCACTCAGTCAGGCCTGTGATCCGGAGGAAAAGAGAGCAGAGCTCGTCAGCAAGGAAGCTCCTCTCGGGCAAAGGCGAAGCAGAACAGATGGCACGGGAAGGGGGGACCCCACACGCCAGAGCGACGATGCGGGGCACAGGAGGGCGTAACGTCACTTACCAGTGCCCAGCACGATGACATCGTATTCCTTTGCAATCTCATCCATGTTTGCGCGAGTCTTGAAGGGGGGAGGCGGGGAGGTAGATTAGTCGGGTGTTGTCAATAGAGGAGGGAAAAGAAAGGTCGAGGGAAGACTGGATGTTCACGTCTGGAGAAGTAGTTGCGGTGTTGTAGGAGACATGGGACCGAAAATGCAGCAAAAGGAAGGATTGGGTGGGGGCGAGGGACATGAAGAGCCCGCGGTGCCACCTGGACCTGGACCTGGACCTGGTGCAGACGGACGGGACCTGTTGCTTTTGGAGGGGTTCAGTGTCAAGTGTGTCACTGGGCCAGTGCTTGCGCTTGCTTTGGGGCCTGTCTGGCTCCAGCGCGTTGCCCGTTAATGGATAGGTACCTCCCCTCAGGTCCGCTCTCATCTCTCCGCTCTGTGGCTCACCGCTAATGCTGCGATAGTAGCCAACTAGCGACCTACCTAGGTACCCGGCTGCTTTGTTGCTGGGCCTGAGGCTAATGATTCCACGTCCTCGAGCAGCAAGGTACCTTACAGACTCATTAGCACAGCACCACTTACCGTCTGTTTCCCCGGCGAAACATATACTCGGCGGTGTGGCTGGCCCTGTTTGGGTACAAGGGCCCAGGTCTCGTCCCGCCCTCCCCCGTACCACTTCTGTAACATTGTGCGAGTAGTCTCATCTGAGTAGGTATCCGTACTGCGCATAGCATTCATCGTCTGCTCTCCTTATGCAATCCCCAACGGCTTGTTGGGCTTGCAGGCCCAGCGCAACAACCCGGCCAACCTCTCGTGACCCGCCGACCGACGCCATCTCATCAGACAAGAACCAACCACATGAAATAGGGGAATTCTCTTCTCTTTTTGGCGGCGACACGACCGTCTGCCTGGTGCACAAAATACGTATCGTACAAGATTCTATACATGTCTGGATACACTTTTACATAGCTTCATGTCCTCGGCCCCCACGCCGGCAAGGGTAATGATTACAATCGGTTTGGCTTTCAAAGCTTGGGAACCGGCAGGTCCACGGGCTTCGCCGCAGCCTTCTTCGCCTCCTCGGGCTTCTTCTTCTCGGCCTTCTCCTTCTTAGCCATCTCAGAAGTTACCGGCGAGGCTTCTGAATCAACCTCGGCCGCCGGGCCCGTCTTGCCCTCGACTGGAGCACCATCAGCTGCAACCGCACCCTGCTCGGCTGAAGTCTCCTCTACTGCCTGATCCTCCGCAACAACTTCCGGCTCAAGCTCCGGCTCCGGCCCCAGCTCGGGGATTGCGGGGGCAACGTAGCCGCTGTAGGCCGGCTCGCCCTCCTCGGCCCAGAGGTTGATCTCAGGGTCTTCGGCCGCAAGCTTGCGTGCATCTTCCCAAACGTAGTAGCGTTCCGTCAACACGTGCTTGATCGCTCTCATCGTGCTGAGGACCTGTGAAACTTTTGTTCAGTGACTATTGAACCCGCAAAGCGCTGGGAGTATACGAACCACGTCATCTCTCTCGTCGCCCTCGTACTCTCCAAATCCAACCATGCGCCTGGCGCGCTCCTTTCTCGCCGTCGCGAGGCGATTTCGCTCCTTCAGGCAGACGTACCACAGCGAGTGCAGGTCATCCCAGCTCTTTTTGCGCAGATCCCGAACAGACCATGCGCGGCCGTGGGCTTGGGTTTCCTTGGGCGTTTGTAGCAGCTGCTTGCCGTAGAAAAAATCCCAAAGCCCGTGTTTTGGGTCCACTCCGACCTTGGGTTTGTAGTCTGCCGGCTGGGGGATCTCCTCCCACGAGACGGACAGCGGCTCACGGGGACCAGTCCTCCTCATGCTCGAGACTCCTCTCAGGCGGTTGCTGTCGCGGGTCTTGCGCTTCGAGTGGGCGGCTGAGGTCGAGAAGGCCGATGTTGCGATTCGTGGGCGGGTGGCAGAGACGGATGTCGGGTTCGCGGGCAGCCATTGTCGAGTCTCTTGCAGCCGCAACATGCGGCCGATCGCTGGCCGCAGCGCAGTTGGGTTTGCCATCGCAATTGAGATCAACGACGCTGCTGGCAAGAATCGTGAGGTCCTCTCTGAAAGCTCGAACTATTTCGTCTGGTCAAAAAATTGGAGGCACTCAGCCAATCAGAAGAGCTCCCGCTGCGGCCACGGGTGAACGACCCCCCGGGCGGGTCCGTACGCCACAGTCGGGTAAGGTGGCTGCCCCTCAGTGTGGCCATCAAGCTCAATTCCCTTCCAAAATGGACGGCTATCCGTTGGATTGATTGACAATGCGTTCTGGCCGCCAGTATCTGGAGGCACGATCCAGTCTCATAGCGACTTGGGTCTCCAAGATGTTGGTGCATAACTTGCGAGTGTAACTTGACTCTGAAGTCGTCGCCAGTTACGAAACACAGCCCTTTTATACAGACCCTCAGTAGTCCTTGAGATGGTAACAGCTTTGAGAGGATATCCATTCACCCTATAGTTCTATCGAGGAGGGTCGAAGTGTTACATTGTTTGAAGTCTACTGGGACAGTCTCAGGCCGTTTTCGAGGTAACCACGGTCCAGACCGGTAGCATAGGAGGGAAGAATGGCCAAGGGGGAATAATCAGATGCCCGAAGACTGATCCTTCAGTGCCCGCTTGACGTCAACCATTTTGGCTATGTAATGATGGCCACAATAGTCGCAGTTTATTTAGCCTGCGGAGACCTAGTGAGAAAAAGCTTTCATGTGGACGCTGATTTGAGTATGTCTCACGCGTAAAGGTCGTACAGAAGGAACAGATGACACTTCACGGGGTTTTGGCCTTGGACGGCGGGTGCGGGAACGTCATCTATGTCAGTCTCTCGCTCCCAGGAACCTATCCTGACGAGTGTAGTAGATCAGAAGCTCTCCCACCCCCAAATCCTACGAATCGTTTGTAGGCATGCAGCCCTCAAAGTGAGATGCGAGTAGGAAGCTGCTTCTAACATCCGGCCACAGTGCTTTTCCCGGAGGTGAACGGGAAATCAGTAGGAGCTTTGATACTTGATCTACTTTCTTCAGAAGTACTGTTTCAAGCGGTTATATGCTTTGTTCAACAGGCTTCCATGTTGCATTCCTTCGGTTCTATCCTAGGGAAAGCGCTGACGCAGCATAGGACGCACCGTGCTATCATACCCATGATCAGCCGAGTAGTTGAAATAGTTGAAGCGCTGTTCGGGAATTTTTGATGGTCTCGAACAGTTGTCTCTTCTAAGGATCTCGGCCTCTTTGGGTGCTTGGGCAGCTGTGCGTCACCCAGCGAGGATATCTCCCTCGAGTCTAGCAATAACTTCAGGTGCTATAACAAACATATATACACGAGTGGCATGGAATTGCCTTGCTTATGTCTGTGTCTCATTCAAAGAGAGCGTTTGACGTTCGTTGTTATTTAATACCCTGCTGAACTCCACGTAAGCCTGCGCTTCCTCGACCTGGCCGTAGAACGAACAACTCGGACTGTTGATTCATGAAGGACAGCGGACGTGAGATATGTCAGTGATTGTAAAGTGATTAGACATTCATTGCATTACCAGCGCTTGTCAATAACGAAAACGATCTCTCAATACTACGTCATTATCTTGCAGTGCCGCTGTTCAATATACTGTCAGCGCAGACTCAGAGGTTCAGGACCAATGCATACTGCTGAGGGCCGGTACTGTTTGTAGTGAAGGGGGTGCACCAGGACTAAGGACCATGGTATCAGATGCGGCTATAACTCAAGATATCTACAAAATTTCTGGGATGTAGCCTATCAGCCTCTGCGAGAAAACACATGGCCATTCATGTATAGTCAAGGGGTTTGCAAGCACCAACCCACGATTAGGCGGCTCTTACCGGCGGCATCAAACGGATGGCTTGAAATGAATGAAAGTAACAAGCCTTGTATCTACAACAACTCTGCAGTCACCTTCACATCGTCACGCGCCATACGACGACACCAGAGCGAATATCACGGGAGACTATGAATGAGGCACCGTACTGAGCGCAGAAACACTTTCAACTTCATTGATCCAGGTTTTGTTACCGTGTTTGGTTCATGGAGTGAGCTGAGCCAGCGGCCGTATAGGTTTAAATTGTCTCCTTTATCTCATCACGTTTACTTGGTTATAGAAGTGAGTCGGACCGAGGGCTGTATGGTTCTAAACCTCTCTTACTACAACATGTCATTCATACGCTCGCTCTTGACATTGTAACGGTCGTCCACCAAATCAGTGCCGCTGGACGCTGGACGACGCTGTCCTAGACACATCATCTCAAGCACCTAATCATTAGCAAATCTAGACCCTCTAATTCCTGTTTTGTGCTACTGCCTGAATGCCTCCCCGACCCTGCCGCGAGTTCCGGGTATGCTTCAGCGACCCACGTAGCCTCGTGAACCAAGGCTGAGCGCAACTTCTTAGACATTAGTCACAGCCTAAAGGAACACTTAAGATGTTTATGTGTATTGATATAATAACGTACTTGCTGGGACGGGCTTAGGGGGCAGGTAGCAAGCGACCCTTCGAGTTCAAACTCTCCATATGATAGGACTCGGCCAGGCACAAGACTCCCGGCAGCATCATCAGACGTGACCAGAAGCACATCTCAATTTGTGTATGTATCTATAAGTAGACTGAGGTGCCATTTCTAAGTCTATTGTTGTGTAGAAATGAGCTGCTAGAGCCTCAGCATCGACATCAAACAATGTCCTCGTCATCTTACCCATTCGAACACCACATAAGGCCAACGCAACAGTTCACGAACCACTGCCTCAAAGTCTTCTACGATATCCAAGGAAACATCATAATCACCATCACTCATGGTGTCCCGTCCCCATCCCGTCCCGCGTGACCCAACTCGCCCGTCCCCATCACCACCACGCCAAAGCCCACACCACGGCAGAGAACCCACAACTCCCCACGGGATGCCTCCGCCAAAGATCCGCAACCCGCGGCGGGAACGTCAACATCCATCGCAATGGATACCGGCCGGTTGGCCCAATGGCAAGGCGTCTGACTACGATTCAATTCGAATCTGATATCAGGAGATTCTGGGTTCGACCCCCAGGCTGGTCAAATCTTTTTTGTTTCGTGCGCATACTTCACTGAATGGCAAAAAAATACATCACGTCCGAATTCTAGAACATTCACATCATTCATCACATTTGCCTTTCCTCTTTACCGACTTTTGCGAACAGCGTGTCTTCTCCTGACGCTGAACTGCAGAATTTTCACCAGGGCAGCCAGCAGACTGCGTCCCACGACGGACGCGCTTCGCGCCGCGGCAGTCGGGGAACTATCCGGGGGATGCACGAAGATTTTCGACGTGGCCGGCCACGATGTCTGCCCAGGGAGGAGACAAGCGGTGTGTAGGACCGTGACCTTGGACGAAGAACGGACAAGACGATGATTTTTTTTCCCCCCCTGTCTTCCACCCCTTCCCTGGGCTTGGCTTGCGGTGTTCAGTGATGACTCTTCTTGTCGGGCATCATCGACGTCAAACCACAAGCAGGGGTGACAGACTACAGGAACAGCTGTCACGATATCTGGCGCTGGACACGTCACTTGGGGATGGCCACCCGCAGGATTCCTGCCTACGAGAAAAAACGCCATCAAGCAGCCCAAAGCTGTAATTTTTTCTTTTCGTTTTATGAATTTCTGTTTACCGCAGCTACCGCTTTGCTCTTTCGTTAGCATAGCAAACTTGAAGTGTGAGTGATGTGTAAGAAAGCTCCGTCACGCAAACACCGTCCCTCGTCCGTCAACCGTCCGTCCATCAAACGTTGTGAATTTCATGCGGATGCAACGCGTAGGCAACCCCCCCGCCATACGCTCAACCACCTCCCTTTCCAACAACGACGACGATCACTGCGCGGTCGTCGGGACATCTCTGTCTCGCGAGGGCGAGACATTCCAATAAGCCCAGTTTTTTTCCTAACAAAAAAAATCCAAACCCACAAAACACGGTCGGCTATGCAAAGACAAGCCTCAACAACCGAGAAGAAGCACCACAATATCTCGCATTCCAGAACCCCCAAGCTGCCCATGAAGAACCTTGTCCCAGTGGCAACGTGCATAGAAAGGGGGCGATTTGTCTGCGGCCCCCGAAGGAGCAACAACTTCGAAGAGGAGGCTCCAGGAGCGGCAGCAAGCAATCGCAACGACTGCTCGAGATTCGTCAATATGAATGAGCCCCAAATGCCCACATTCTACGTTAATGCTTGAAGGCTACGCACTGCGGCCGGCCTTTACGGGGTCAGATCTGCCCCAGCGGCGACTCTAGAACACGGGGACAGATAGTCATCCACAAGTTTGCTTAGTAGTCGCTCTAACTCCCATCTCTTCCGGCCTCCTAATGGGGTACACGAAGCATCGTGGCGAAGGGCAGTTGACAGCAGACGTATCATGAGTGCCAACTGCAACCCGAACGGAGACAGAGATCACCGATACGCGCTTTGCTCGCGCTCGCGCCTAGCATGTTGTTTCCGTGCCTCCACCCCCGATTTAGAAACAGTCGCCTGGAAGAGCCGGACAACCATCTCCTACAGGCTATCCATACATTCTTTTACGAACTCTTGCTTGCCATCTATGCTACCACGGCTGGCATACGGGGGACGCGTCCTCCCTCTCTGCGACAGGATAGGGGTCTGCACATGTTTCGGCTAGAACAATCCATAGTCTTTTCGACCCCTTCTGCGTTCCGCGCAACCGCCGCCGCCTATTCACAACAGAACGTGCAAACCCAGTTGCCAGTTGCCAGTAGTTGGCCAGGTCACCGCGTATGTACTCGGTCGCCATCGGAGTGCAGCCGAGACAAGTCGTGCCACCATTTACCCGATTGTGCCGTCTACGAATAGCAACTGCTGCAGCCGTGGCATTTTGCTATGGAATTCCCAATTCGTAAAACCGCTAGCTGTCACGAGGCTCTTGCTATACGACGAGGGTGGGAGATTATGCCGATCAGAGATCAATTCTCCGGGCACTGTGGCCGCGACTCGAGTCACCCAGACAAGAAACCCCTAAGCCAACTGACTACTGC